TCAACAGGGTCCAAAGTACCTGGAGATCACTTTCTGGAGAAGTTGTCATTAAAGCTTTGGCAGGGCAGTAAATTTGGTAGGTGCTGAAAGGTAAGAATTAAACCACAAGCAGAAGGAACCGACATGAAGAATGGAACTGGGATAGAACAATGTGGCAGCCATTAGACACTCTACTTGACTGGGTAATAGATTAGATTGAAGAACAATGTAAAATGCATGGAATGCTTAGGAAACCTTTAAAAAATAGTATATCCAGAAGACATACTGTATAATTTTTAGCTGTTTCACCCATGAGTTTCTTAAGTCACAAATTGTGAAAAACTAACATAAAGTGTGAAATTGGAAAACTTTGACCCCTTAAAGCAATAGCTGTAAGATACTAATGTGATTTATGAACCAGATCACCTTGCAGAAATTTCCTAGTGGGAGTGTAAGAACTGGGTAGATATCTCCTACATTTTTAATCCAAAAGGATTGGGAGATCTGGAGATTAAAAGAAGATTTTATGAAGTAAGCTGAGGGTGTACTAGAAATATACACAAGGAGAGATGGTGTAGGGTGTTTTCCCCCTCAGCACTAGAAAGAGCTTCTTCAAGGACACTCTCCAAAGAGTTTAAAAGGTGTCCCTTGAAGTTCTGAGGTTTTAGTAGAAACGGTGGTTTCTGATTAATTCAAAGAGCAAAGACGAGGTAGTGAGCAGCTTATGGAAGAGCAAAGTAAAGATTCTGAATGGGAATTCATCCATTTTTTTTTTCAGGGTTTTTTAGTTTCCTCTGGAAGAGACAGACGTTGGGCCACAAATATGAAAGAGCTGTCATGATGTTATCCTAGTTATTTTCTTTAAGGTTTTCCAGCTGCTGAACTGGTCTCAGCTGACTAGTGGCTTGTGGCTAGAGTAAGTAATAAAGTGAGACAGTATGACCCACATCGAGCATAATGCAGGTGAAAGTCTCCAGTGATTGGAGGTGGCGGTTACTGAAGAACCAGGAAAAACTCCAGCTGGGAGAGAATCACCTTTGTGCCTGCCCCAACGAATGAGCCTTCTTGCTTAGTGACCAGCAAGTAAGCACTTTCCTTCTTTTACCTCTTCTTTCTCCATCTTTCCTTTTTCACTCCACTGCCATATTCCAGAGGAGTCAGTATCCAAGTTTTTCACTAGCTGGAAAAGAAGAACATGGGGGACAAATAGGGACCAACAAATTCCTTTCCATTGGCTACTGGCTTCCCTTTGCAGCAGATTCTACCTACAGGAGGTTGTTAAGACTGTAAGTCAGTTTGTCGCATGCAGCTGAGTGTTCTGCTTTCTAAATTGAGAATGTGTTTGATGAGCTAGCAGGGGTTCCCAACCCCCAAGCCGTGGACAGATAAACTGTCCATGGCCTGTTAGGAACCGGGTCTCACAGCCGGAGATAGAGGTGGACAAGCAAGCTCCACCTCCTGTCACATCAGCTGCGGCATTAGATTCTCAGAGGAGCATGAACCCTCTTGTGAACTGCATGTGCAAGGGATCTAGGTTGTGTGCGTTTTATGAGAATCTAATACCTGATGATCTGGAAACTGTTCCACCTCCCCCATCTTCAAAAACAATTGTCCTGGTGTCAAGAAGTTTGAGGACTATCAATTAAAGTAACTAGAAGATTTTTTTTTTTTTAAGTTCTAAATGATCAGAGCCTAGGTAAAGGCCTTATTCTGGTTGGCTGAAGACAAGTTGTTAATATTACGTTATTAGTTCTTTGGCTGGCAAAACACATTACCACTGAATAGCTTAAAACAAGAAAAACTTAGTGTCACATTTCTGGAGGCCAGAAATGTAAGAGCAAGGTGTCTGCAGGGCCATGCTCTCTCTGGAGGCTCTAGAGGAGAAACTGTTCAATGCCTTTCTCTTAGTTTCTGATGATGTTTCTGGCATTCCTTAGCTTGTCGATTTATCACTCCAATTTCTGCCTGTCTTGTCATATGGCACTCTCTGTGTGTGTCTTTGTGTTCACATGGCATTCTCTTCTCCATGTATGTTAATCCCTGTGTCTCATCTCTTCTTGTAAGGTTACCAGTCATATTAGACTAAGGGACCACCTTATTCTGGTTTAACCTCATCTTAATTTACATCTTATTTATTTGCTTTGCTTTGCTTATTTACATCTGCAAAGACTTCCTTTCCAAATGAGGTCATATTCAGGGTAGGACTTCAACATATCTTTCAGGAGCAGATAATTTAACCCACAACAGACGTCATGCAGATTTTGGTCTACTTGATGCCTGCACCTGGAGTTAAGGATTGTTGTTGGTGTGAATCCAAGTCCCTTTTTAATTTATTTAGGAGATGTATATGCTGTACTCTTTCAAAATATATGAGGTTCTGGGTCTGAAACAGTGTTGTTTCTTAGTCAAGTCCAATCAGGGCTCAGCTATCGGAAATGCCACTTTAAATTTTGTCCATTTTCCTCCCAGTGCTGTTACTGTTTCTCTTCTTTGACATCCTCTGAGCATTTTAACAGTAAGTTGAGAAGACTCCCGCTGGGTACTGTGAGTAGACCTCATGTTAATCAGGACTCCATTTTTTTTTATGCTTCCAGTTTTTGTATGCATTGCCCCATCTTCCTGGAAAGACATACCTGCTTGCCTGCCTGTTAAACTTAGTACTTCAGAGCTCTCTTTTCTGAAATTTTCTTAGAACAAACAGTGCTGATTGTCAGCCATGGGCACCAGTTTCACTAATTCTGGCTGATTTTTTTGGGAGACAGGGGACAGGGTCTCATTCTGCTGCCCAGGCTGGAGCGCAGTGCTGCAGTCTCGGCTCATTGTAGCCTCTGCCTCCTGGTCTCAAGTGAACCTCACATCTCAGCCTTTCAAATAGCTAGGACTATAGGTATGCACCACCACACCTGGCTAATTTTTGTTTTTGTAAAGAAGAGGCCTTGCCATGTTGCCCAGGCCCCTGACTGATATTTTAAGATTGTACCCAAAACCTAAAAGGCAATAATATATGTGTGTGTGTGTGTGTGTGTGTGTGTGTGTGTGTGTGTGTGTATAATTATGTTTTAAATCCTTTTCTGACTCCAGAATATTCTTTTAATACTTTCTGCTCCTTTAAAACTCTATGTACTGTCTAATGATAGTGTTTTCACCAATTACTTGAAACAATTGTCCACAGATGTGTTTCCTCCACTAGCCTATGCTTTTCTTGAATCTCTGTTTACTGGTTTCTTCAGTCTGTCACAGACCTTGGCTTGCAGTGGGGGCTCACCAGGTGTTTTCTGAATTGGATCAAGTGTTTAAGAGTAGACAAGGGCCAGTTGCTTTAAGTGAGTCTTGAAGTACATCACAATTTCTTGAAGGGCTTCTTCAAGCTAAAGTTCTCAGCAAAATCAAGTGGGGGGCTTGATTTTGGGGCCTCCAAAATGCAGTGGAGCAGTTGACAGTTTACTAATCTTTTTGAACACTACTATTCAATCTTTCTCACCCACCTGCCTGAAAGACCCAGAATGACTCTTTATTCCTTCGTCATCATAGAGTCTAATTAATAAATAGGCGAAGTAGGTAATGTCCAGTATGATGTGATTTAATCATGTTATTGTGTGGCTCACTAGGGCAGTAATTCTCAATGGAATAGTAAGTTTTTTTGTTGTTGTTCTTTAAAGAGCAATGATAGGAATAATGATGATATTATATTGGATAATGCTTTCTCAGGCTTAGCTTGGTGCTATGCTATGTTCTCTATCTGTATTTATCTCAGTTATCAGCACCATGGGTAGGAAAAATTGTCATTCCCATATACAAATGAAAAATGAAGACTTATAGAATTTATTTGCCCAAAATGAGACAGTTGGTAAGATGTAGTGATTACAGTTATATCACTATTATTATGACTGCTTTAGTCAATTAATCAATGTTGCTTTAAACTGTTGTTTTTTTGGTTTTTGGTTGTTTTTTTTTTGAGACGGAGTTTCATTCTTGTTACCCAGGCTAGGGAGCAGTGGTGCGATCTTGGCTCACCGCAACCTCCGCCTCCTGGGTTCAGGCAATTCTCCTGCCTCAGCCTCCCCTGGGATTACAGGCACACGCCACCATGCCCAGCTAATTTTTTGTATTTTTAGTAAAGATGGGGTTTCACCATGTTGACCAGGATGGTCTCGATTTCTTGACCTCGTGCTGGGATTACAGGCTTGAGCCACCACGCCCAGCCTGCTTTAAACTGTTAACATCTTCTTTTCAGCCAAATAACTTTCTTAAGGGGTGAATTTAAAATTCTTACCTATCTATGTGACAGTCCTTGCTGGAGAGCTATTGCTCAGGCTTGAATTTTGTATCCTCTAATCTGAACATTCAGATAATGATGCAATAAAATCTTTTATAGGATACTCCTCAAGATTGTTATACGTTAAGGGAGGGAATAAGATATATTTTCATAACTTTTGACTTCGATAAAGTACTTTCCTCCTCGTTGCAGCATAGAAAAGCTCTGAAATTGCATCTCATAAGGAAGGTAATCTGCAATTATTTACAGTTATCCCACAATATCTCATTTTATTACTTTGTGGAAAGACCCAAACTTTCATGAATATTTTAAAACCCATGCTCACTAGTAGTGGAAGGAAAGTCAGTTTAGGTAATTTCAAATTCCGTTTCAGTCCGTTGTATTCCAAGTAAATGTTCTGTCCTGACATGGCTTACATCTTGTCTCTTGAAATGATCGAAGCTAATGCCTTTCTTGCTCGAGTGCATCTTGTTCACATGTGAGAGAAGAAAGAGAAGCAAAGCAAACAGGGCTGAGTATCTGCTGCAGTCACCCATGTTCTCAGCTGCAGGGGAGAAAAGAGATCTGGGGAAGTGATTTGGCATTTAAAACAAGTGGTTCCTGAGGCAGCTGCTGATGGAGCTGAATATTTTGTTAAATGATTTTCTTCTCTGACCTTTATTACTAATGAATCTTCTTTAAGAAGCATTTAAAGAGGAAAAAAAGAAAGGTTGTTTTTATTAATCTTCTTTCTCTTTTCCCATAGAACCCAGAGAAATGGTGTTACCTGGCAAGAGATCTTCTGTCTTTTATGAAAAATTAGACAAAGGTAATGCTTATTTCAAATTGGTATTTTTTTCAGTCTGTATAACTCTGATACATAAAACTAGTTGGCTTTCCCTGATTATTGATTTTAGATATTGAATTACCCATCAAAAAAGTAAATTATTATCTGAAAAGTCAAGGGAAGGCTTTACAATGATCATCAGATTGATAAAGTGAACAGAACATTTTTAGATAAATAATAGCTTTCCAAAACATTTTGGGTAATGGTTAATTTTCTGATACCATTTTGAAATTTATATTAATATATAAATAGATCTTGGCTATAAGATTGCAGTCTCTTTGGAAAGAACTCCAATTGGTTTATCATATTTACAAATGATAGATGATAACAGCATTAGACACTTGTTAAGGTACAATAACAAGTACCTTATGCAGCATTAGTCAGATGACTATGTATTTTTCGAATATACAAAAAAATTTCAATATGAATTACTAGAAAAATGTCATCAAGCTTTATGAAGACATCCTCATGCAAAATACATACTTTCTTTGGGAAGATTGAATTATATCATACAGTTGTTGAATAGCATGCCTGATTATGCTTAACAGATTGCATATTTACTTGCTAAATTTCCAAATCGCTATGTGATTTATTTACATATGTTGTCCTAAGAATATGAAAACTCATGCAAATATTCTAATGACATATGCATGTATACAAAGTGTGAGTATAGCTGCAGATAAATAATGTGTGTGTGTTTTATGAATAAAGCTATCTCAAAAGAGGTTTTTAAAGAAAAATTTCAGACAGTTTAGAATTTTGAAGGGAACTGGGCACATCTATTGAGTTATGTCTACTTGTATAGCTCTGAATATGTGATGACTACTGTATGTTCATGAACATATATAAAATATTAATGAAACGTATTATGTTTTCATATTAACTAGAATTGATCGGGTTTTATTTTTGATAAATTGCTGAATTGCTAAAAATAAATGAGCACTGAAATAAAAGTAGCATTTAAATTTAATGGACATCAGGAGAAAACTCGTTTCTGAACTTTGATTTGCAGTTGCGTAAAAATAAATTGTTAAATTTGAATTACAAATGTGCTTACAAATGTGATATATTTCTACTTATTCCTGGCTTCTACTGAATTCTTCAAAATAGGTGTAAACCCCTTGAGAAAACAGTTTCTTTCCCTAAGGAAATTTTTGAATTATAGTCACTCTATTCAAGTTTTATCTATACTGAAATGTCAATTCAAATTAAACTATTATTAAATGGTTAATGAAGATAATTGAGGGTGGTCTTTTACATAGAACTATTAATATTGACTCCCCAAATAGGGACATTATAAAGAGAACAAATACTTAGACAGTATGTGGAAGAGGTTGAAGCTGAGCTGTGTGATGAAGGCATATGGAGATAAAAGATAGAAACGTGCTTGCTGTAAGAAGGCACAGTAAAGACAGAAAGAGAAATACCCTGAATGAAATGAAGCCAATGAGGAAGGTCAGGGATCCATGCGCTTTATACAAATAAGGCATGCAGGGAGCACAGACTCTCCAGGATGCATTTATACGAATGTTTCTTTTCTCAGAGGTATGTATGTACTAATATACTCATCTTTAGGCTTTTATTTTACTTAAGTTATGTATGACCTTATTTTTAAGTGAATATAGCAAAGAAAGACTTGGGGTAAGGGAAAGTAATTCCGATTCATGGGAAAGAATTTTTAGCATCAGTGTTCCCAGAGCAATAAAATTTGTTGTTGTTGTTTTTTTTACATTATGAAAATAAAGACACCATTCTGTGTATTGCCAAAGTCCAAGAGCTTTAGCATGATAAAACTGCCAAGGTGATTATGATCCAAGATATGTGTGTTGCTGTGAAGGTTGAAAGTGAGGTATGGAGGAGGAGCTAGGGACATTCGTGCCATTATCTCTCTCAGTTGGTCCTATAGATTTGTTAAATTAGGGTGTTTGCCATCTTACAAAACTCCTATGAATAAGATAATGTATTAACATTATCTCAGATGCCTATGATCTCAGATGGAATATGTACATTTAAATGTCAATTTTTTAAACAGTGGCAGTTGAAGGCATACTAGTGAAGGTGCTGTTTTTAAACAAATGGAACCATTCACCTTTTCTGAATTATACATGATGACTAACACATTCATTTTGTGTGGGATTAATTCTGGCAATGGGCTCAGTGTGCAATCTGTTGGAGTCACAGGCACTTTTATGTGTGCAGATAGCTGTGAGTTCTACATTTGACTCTTTTAAAAAGGACATTTAAACAACTTTTCGTGTAGTGTTTTAATGTAAAGTTATTGGTTATAAGTTACAGTTACAATATTCTTAATTTTGTCATCCAAAGACAGAGGCAACTTCAATTAGTCAGGTTAAAATATCTTTCAACATACTTCATAGGATTACATGTCAAAATAGAGACTGTCACTCTGTTCAATTTTTACATAGGTTTATATGTCCTGGAAATAGATCGAATTTCAATTAAGAAAATTTGATGACTGTAATTTATTTTTATTATGTAGGAATATTAAATTTTATTCTCACATATATTTAATTTTTCTGGAGGAAATTGAAAGGGATATTAATAGTTCAGCAATTCTTTGGTGTACTATAGGTTTACTATATTTAGGCTTACATAAACACATTTTTGAAAGTTGAAAATAAACTGGGTTATAAGGCTACTCTATAGGGTTACTTATGTTCAAGGACATTAAGAAATAAATTGTAAATATATGTTTTACAGATTGGTTTTATTTGGTTTATTATTTGATGTCCAAAATGATATAGATGTGATACAAGTTAAGATTTAAAAGGATAAAAATCTTGTGATAGTTTAAGAGCTTATTACAGATTATGCTTTCTATTATTTATCACATACCTATAATAATAATTGAAAGCACAGCATCATAACTTGCAGGTTGATTAATAAGTTAATGACCATGCATTTAAATGAGAGTTAGAAATAGTTTAAGGCTGGTGATGAAAAGTACATGTAAATCTCACAATGCCCAAATCCAGTTCTGTGTCTGATATATACTATACAATGCTTTACAAAAGCGTAGTTATAACATCAGGCATAGCATGCTCCCAACGAGTATTTAAACAGCAAATCAGAGAATAAATCATTGAACATTTTTATGGAGAAGTGACTGAAAACTATTAAAGAAGAATTTACATAAAAAGGAGCTATTATGGTAGTTTTTAAGACTGGCTTTTGTGGTTTTTATGATTTTTGTCATTTGCAAAAAGCTTTTGGTTTTCTTAACCCTTCTGAGTATTAGTTTCTGTGCAATATTTCATCCTTTTGAAATGTGCAGGACTATAAACCATAGCATTGTCTAGAATCAGCTCCTACTACTATTCAAGTTCTTCCATCAATTCCTCACCTGTTTCTTACCTTACTTATGTCTCTCTTAACACCAAATACTCCAAACATTCTTGTCTTTGCTTAGGCTTAAAGCTCTACTTTGAATGTCCAGTATTCTTTCTGCTTTATTCCAAAAACTATATAACCTTAAAATTTCTTTGAGATGCTTTCAGAGACCTTCATTACATTACAGCTATCTTTCTTCTTTAGTCAGCCTGCATTCACTCACACTGAGATGTGATATCTGTCATACTGTCATTGATTTGCAGATTTTGGTATATTTTTGTGTGTATATGTGTGTGTGTAATTTGATATCATTATATATAAAGGTGCACACACAGACACAAATTTTTTTCTTCAATATAATTGTAAAAAAAGATCTATCTTCCAGCCACTTTCACTTTTCCTTATGAGTAAAGCTGGCAAAGTTTCAGTGAATGAGCTCTGAATCTCCAGGATTCCCTTTAAAGGTATATTTAAAAGACTAAAAGATCTCTTTGAAATAAGAAAGTCATAATTTAGGTATGTTTTGTATTAATTAGGTCTACCTGGAGAACCCACTCTGCTGTTATGACATCTTTTTAATATGAATAAAATCTAAATTTAAATCAACGAATTTATAACACCATTGTATGAACATTTTCTCTTCACCAGGAGGAGATGGTCTAATTCTATCACTCATTGGCTTTGTGCCACTCTATACATCATTGCAGAAAAATCTAACCTGACCTACCCAACAGCGTCATTTTTGTGCAAGAGCATATACTCTGCTCTATGGTGGAGTCTCTCTAGGCTAAGATCCTAAAAATACTTAAATTCCAGGTATGGAAATGGAATAGGATCAGAGTAATTTAGAAAGTTGAGAAGAAATCAAGCTTACTGGGGTTGGGAAAAACCTTTGAGAACTGGGGCTCTCAGAGAATTGGCAATTCCCAGTAAAGGACTAAAGTCTTTGACAAAACTGGTTCCTGTAAGGGTTTAGCAGATCTGCTCATTTTTAGTTCTGGTTTTGCAGCACTAAGATTACCTTGAAAGGAAAAGCAAGTAACTAAAGGCAAATTGGATGGGCTACAAATGATTGGTAACATGAAATGTTCACTAGATTTCTCAAGTATACATGTGAATATAAAGGTATGTTTGTTCTTATCTCTCTGTCTCTCTATATATATGCATGTACACACACACACACACATACACACACACACAGAGTTAGCCCTTCATATTCATGGTTTTAACATCCACAGATACAACCAACTGGAAATAAAAAATATTTGGAAAGAAACAATAAAAAATAATAAAAATTAAAAGACAACACAGTATCACAACTATTTACATAGCATTTGCATCGTAGTAGGTATTAAAATCTGGATAAGATGTCTAAGAGGATGTGCTTAGGTTATATGCAGAGACTATGCCATTCTATATAACGGACTTGAACATCCACATATTTTGGTACATTGGGTAAGAGGAATCCTGGAACCATGCCCCACCGGATAATGAGATAGCTGTATATATTTTTAATGCAGTTGATGTTTTAAAAAGTATGCCACTAGATGTCAGCAGCAACCTCCTAGGCCTGTGACCTTAATTTGCTAACAATAAAAAATGATGCTTCATTAGAGCATCTTATCTGAGAA